ATTCTGTAAAATTTTCAAATGGAAATGCCCAACAGTTTTCTGAGGACGTACAATATGCGAGTGGGAATTTCGCAGCGATGAAATTCAGTTACGTTCTTTTATCTCGGAAGTGACAATATGAACCGAAGTTCATGTACGCAGACTTTATGACGAAAGTTCTTTTCTCGGTGTGAGGCGTTGGCACAGCGGTAGCGTCCTACGGAATTAAAAAAACTCCTCGCCTCGCCTTGACGAGCCCATTGGAATTATTGTCGCGTTCATATCCGCTTCGAATTCGGGTTGCAGCCTCCCTCCCCCCACCGCAACTTTCTCCACCACAATACGGGATACACAACCCCCCTCCCCCTCCCCTCGCGCGGGTCTTCGCCACAGACGGCAAACGTAGAATAAGAATTCCGAGAAATGAAAGTGGCTAAAAAAAGAATCGTTTAGAGCTCCCCCCCGACTCCCCCTCCCCTCCCCACCGTCCCGGGGGCGAATAAAAGAATCCTAGCTTGAGGACGATTGAGTTTCAGATTTCTTGAGTGCAATATTAAATTATATAGGTACTACGCGTCACCCTAGCAACGCCAACCTCCTTTAATTCCTTTTCCAACCTCCGAGTCCGGGAAAGTCGCCCGGGGTTGCCGCTTCGGCCGATAAAATCCGGTGGTTTTCTCTGCCGCACTAAGGAAAAACGCCGTATGAGTCTTCAGGCGTTGCCACATTTCTTTCAATAAAGCCTTAATTTACTGAGAAAATCGTGAATTTTTTTCTTCAGTTTTTACAGACAATTTTGTTCGCAATTTTGTCTAAAATGTTTGAAAATTTCAAGGAATTTGGATTAACGTTCTAAAAAATACGTGTTCTATCCGAGGCAATTTGGCAACTCTGAAATGTTCATACGGCGTTCTTCCTATCACGGCGGTTCTGGGGGTTGAATTGGTGGTTCCCGCGGGCCCGTCCGACAACGGTGTCTCTCATCCCGTTTCGACCTGTGGCCGCACCGTAGCATGACCGCATCCTCCCCCCGGTGAGCGCTGATATTTGTGTTAGCTTGCCTCTTTTCCCCAGAAATAATGCGGGCAAACTCCGCATTTGTAAGCGGAAAAAATGAGCTGTCCCCTCTGCGGAAAAATAACGAGTATTGCGAAATTAGTACACTGCTCGCAATGAAGGTTGTAGGTTCTCATCAGAAATCTCAGGATTAATTGGATTACATTTTGCAATAAGGAACCACTATCTCTGGCTCTCCCATAAAATCACATAAAATATCTGCATAGGGGAACCAATGTCACGTAAGTTGTTTCTAAAATGGGCCAGAAATAGTGGTTCCTTAATGCAAAATGTAATCCAATTTTTTCACTGTCGGGGGACGTTGATGGCCACGTGGAATTCATTTTGCAATGATGCACTATTATTCCTGACGCCGTTTAACCCAAAGATTTGGTCGATTTGACACAGGGAAAACGAGCACAAAGAAATCAACCAACAGCGCGTGTTGCTTCGTATTTTACCCCCTATATTGACACAAGATTTCGGTTACTTTTTCTTACTGTGCATGCTTCCTCTTCAAAATCTTAGGTGAAAAACGATTTACTGGACGAGAAGTTCGAAAATCAAATCCTTAACGAGATGTTAACAAGTATTTTCAACATGGGGCACATGAAAGGTGTAGCATACAAATAGAAACATACAAATGGAAATCAACTCCTAAACAAAAGTATGTAACGTGGGTGGGTAGTGCGGTGAGTCAGTTGCGCTGGTCACATAATCGTGTTTTGCTGACGGCGCAAAGATACAACTATTCGTACTTGATGGATGTCCGTGTTGCGTCTGCAATATTGAAGGCGCCATGGCGTGAGGCGTGAACTCGTAGCTCCGCTCGATGCCGCCAATGAATGGGTCCGTTGCGCTGGGCACAGAATCGTGTATTGATGCTTGATTCTTGTAACTTAGCGAAAAATAATAAGATCCGTCTAAACAGCGACTTTCTACGTTTAACCGAGATATTGGCCTTTGAAAAGTCGGGTTTTTGACGTCATCCACCACGGTTGTCACCTACTTGGTTTCTTCCACCTTGCTTTAATTAGTCAGTGTGACGCATTTTTGCACTGGTTACTCAACGTGAAACTCGGATGAAAGCAACTTGGAAGAAATTAAGGGTGCGTAAGTGTAAGTCCTGCGATGGCTGACGTAAAAAAACCCGACTTTTCAAAGGGGGATATCTCGATTAAACGTAGAAAGTTTCTATTTGGACGGATCTTACTACTTTTAGCTGATCTACAAGGACCAAGTATCAAAACACGATTCTGTGCCCAGCGCAAGTGACCCATTCATTGGCGGCATCGAGCAAAGCACTGCGAGTTCACGCCTCACGCCATGGCGCCTTCAATATTGCAGACGCAGCACGGACATCCATCAAGTACGAATAGTTGTATCTTTGCGCCGTCAGCAAAACACAACTCTGTGACCCAGCACGTTACATGTATTTTTACCGTACTACTCATGTTACATACTTTTGTTTAGGAGTTAACTTCCAGACTCTCCGTCGCACGGTGGATCGAATCAATTCGAGAGGTCGGATATGAAATTTTTAACTAAAACTGCAATTTTTAATGTTTAATTCGTCACATTCTGAATTCTGAGGGGAGCTTTCAAAAGAAAATTTTACGAGAAAACCAATGGAAACACTCGAAGAACCTCAAATTTTTATATAAACGGAGTTATAAGCGTCTAAACTTTCCAAATTTTGTCCAACCTCTCCTGATGACTCGATTCACTCTGCGTCGTGCGATTCGTTTTTCTCTTGAAAATAGCGTAGATGTCTCATCGTCTCACGATGTGTCATATTTTAATTCATTTTTTGTCTGAAAATAGCGATATCTTAGACAAAAATACGAAGGTAAAAACGAAAATGGAAAAAAGGACAGAAAGGAGCGCAGCGTGCTCCAACTCTCAGCGGAGCGTTTGAAGGCCCCGTAATTCCTTACTAGTTCTCCAAGCGTTCCATTTCAACACAGTTAACATCCTCGCATGCTATTATTCGAAACTCCCCCGTCCAAAATGAGGGAGCTCAAGCGTTTCCCCCCTTCGGTGCGCCCGCCCTGGCCCCGGCTCAGCATTCGCATCACGTAACAGATATTTTTCGGTAGGCTCAAACTCGCCTCGTCGCCCTTTCTACACCCCCGCCCCTCCGGCCCCCTGGCGCCCCGGAGGGCGCTCGCTCTACTCTGGACTTCCGCTAATTTAAGGAGGAATCGCGATAAATTTCCGAGCCGGGCAGGATGAACGCCGCGAATAGTTCATCTCACCCCCGCGGTAATTAGCATAGCTGCGCGGGTGTTATGTGCGGAATCTTATAAATTGGAAGCGTAGCGTGCCCTCCCCCTCACCCCCGCCCGGGCCACCACTTTCTCTCGTCCAAATTCGAAGGCTTTTTGATGCGCCTCTGGCGAGATGCGACCGGGGTAGGTCGTTGCGTTATCGATGCATAACGTAGCAGCGCTGAGGACCCACGCTGCGGTGGTAAGGAAGAACGCCGTAAGAACCTAGAGATGTTGCCGATTTTTTTTTTTATGAAAGGCGGGTTTTCCGAAAAACTTAAAAATATTTCTCTTCAGAAATTTCGGAGAATGCGATTCGCAATTCCATCAAACGCATCTGAAAATTTTAAGGAAAATAATTCTCGATTTTCGCGAAAAATACGTACTTTCTCTGGAGAAATTTGGCAACATTTGAGTGCTTTTGTGGCGTATCTTCTTTGCATGGAGTGAGTGAAAATTTGGCTAATTATCAATGTGCTGCGGGTCATTTTGGAAATAAAATAATGATAAACCATTTATTTTCTTATGAAGATAGTATAGTTTTTATTCATGAGCTAGCGTAAAAAATTCTCTAAGTTTTCCATGTTTTTCTTGAAAGACTATTCACATTAAAATTTTGCACGTGTAGAACTGACAGAACAACTTTTAGTTTAGAGCCGCGAAGTAGACTAAGACCCGGATTTTGAGGACAGCACTGATGTTTTTTTCAGATTTCAAGTTTTATGATTTTCAGTCCATGCATGCAATTTCTTGACTGCATTTTTCTTCCCGATTCCACAGCCCTGACGAAATTACCCGACGATTCCCAGTTTTCCTAACACGGAGACACCCGGTAATTGCAAAACGAAGTGCCACTGAGTATTCGACTGAGGACTTCATTCCTCCATCGATTGCCACGCACCTTTGGGACCTTGAGCCACGAGAAAAGTTCGATTATTTTCTACCGCGGTGAACTTAAACGCTCCCTCGAAGCAGGTCGGGGACGCGTTTAAAGGGAAAACGACCGCTTTCCGGGAAGGGGGGGGGAGGGCCCTTTGCCGGGTATCGGCACCGGCGAAAACGGCACTTTGCACTCCAATTGTTTTCCTCTCTTCTTAAGAAGGATGTTTACACGCTGAGTGTCCCTGTCCTCCTTCGCGTCGCCCGCGGCTTGTCCCGTCATTTCGCGGAGAACAGCTCAACATCATTCTACCGTGAACCGTACAGACCTGGAGATTCGCACGCGATAGGGATTACTCAGCCATTTACTTAAGATCTTTCAGAGGTTCTCTGCGTCAACCCTTTTCGTCGCTGAGTTGTTGTTGTTTATAGTAGGGATCCGACAGAGTACGGATATTCATGCAGTGCTAAGGAAGGAACGCCGTATGAATACTCAACTGTTGCTAAATTTTATCACATAAAACACGAATTTTCGGGCTAAATTATAAAATTTTTCCTCAGGAAATGTTAGCTGCAATTTAATCTGGTGTTTTTAAAATTTGGGTGAAGCGTTTAGGTTCTCTAGTGGTAGAGTTAATGAAACATCCATCAGCAAGTGATGTATATACTTCCAAGTAATCAATGGTAAATGATTGAAATTACCGTATTGAAAAATACGTATCAGATTTTCTCAAGACATTGTATCATTGGTTGTGAATGAGTGCAAAATTACAGAAACGTTATACTTTAGGTCTAAAGAATGAAGTACTCCATTACCTCCTCTATTTTCGTTGTCGGCTGGCTTCACTTGTATAGGACGGCTCATCTGTAACAAAAAAATGAAATACTTAGGATTAGTCGTGAAAATGAGAGGGACCCGTAAACACAAAAGGGTTGAATGAAAATATCTTACGAGAATTTGACGATGATTAAATATCTTATTAGAGACTTTAACCTGATGATGAAATAAATTTTGAATTAAAACGAGGTTTAGTTGAATGGGTGAAGTAGATAAGCGTATGATAGATCAAATGTAAAAGTATAGAACGTTATAAGGTTAACACTTTGCCAACAAGGGCGGATCCAACAATTTGGCGACACCGGATTTCTTCAATTCAAATCTACAAAATGATCGATCCTTGTCGGAACACCTGGCCCCTTCAAGAATCGATACATTTCCATGGGTTGAAATTGAGGAAAAACAACGTTGCCAATTTGCTGGGGACGTCACTGTTTGCCAACGGGGAGAATTGAACAAAAAAAAAACTTCGGAGCAAATTACTAAATAAGTAAGAGCAGGACTATTAGGCCTAGGGATTGAAAAAGGTACTAGAGAGCTACGTCAGAGTGCCGAAGAAAATATTTTTCTTTGGTAGTAGAGAGGAAGCTTTTTTGCAAAAATTGCCTAACAAGGAGCCGATAGCAAAAGTGAAGATCATAGTGAGGGCAAAGGCACCATAACTCACGTCTTTCGTGGTCTTACGACTAATCGTGACGTCAAGAGGAAACATTTCCATGGTTGCCGGCTTATTCAAGCTCATTTGGACTAAATTTTGTACTAGGAAACTACTATTTTTGACTCATTTCAGAAACAGCATATGTGCCATTAGTTTCCCTACGAAGATATATCCTTTTATGGATGAGCCAAAAACAGCACAGTTCCTTATTGCGAAATGTATTCCATCTGCTCACTTAAATACCCACTTCCTTCCTCAATCTGCCGCACGAACTTATGAGACTTTATCAGTTTAAAGTATTCACATTTTTAGCGACACAGTGTCGCACAACTACGATAACTCGATGACAGCGACTTTGATGTATGCATGAATCGCATCATGGGACTATATTTTGCAATCAGGAACTACTATTTCTGGATCATCCATGCAAGCATTTACCTGCGTAGTCAGACGTGTAGCACACGAGTTGTTTCTGAAATGAGTTAGACACAGGTAAGATTTCCTCAATGCAAAACGTACTCCATTTAGCGCATGTTTGAAGTATAAGAGATAGTTGTACCAACTTTCACACCGTCTCAGGGTTAGAAAATGCTCCTTTCCAACAGCTACTAGTTGTCTTTATATCACTGCCCCTTTCTATGTTTCTTTGTAGAGAGATTAAATTTAACATTTGTGACATTCCCGGTCTGTTCCCGGAACAGCGTCATCGCGCCTTCAATTGTGCAGATGCAACACGGACATCCATCAAGTACGAATAGTTGTATCTCTGCGCCGTCATCAACGCTCTGTTACCATATTGTGTTTGTTCCCGTTTGTCTTATGTGTATAGTTGTGCTTCAAGAATTTTGTGAGCAACACAGTCTAAGATAGAATGAGTAATAATAATAATTGTTTAGCACTTCTGTTAAATCTAAGCAAGATCTCACTGGCAGGAAATGGAGAAATGTATTGCATGACGCATTTTCTATTGATGAGCAAGAAATAGTGACTCCTTATTACAAAAATAGTCACTTTAACTTTGTTCAAGTTTACGTATCCGACCGAAATATAGACTAGTTTGTCAGTAAAGCCGACAACAATGAGAGGTAATTATTCTCTCAGACGGAGTAACATGTTTTTTGTTTTTACACCCACGCTACTTTTCCGGTTTTTATGGTGCTTTTATCTCAGCTCAGTTCATCGCTTCTCTGACGTTAGTGCGTATCTTAATTTCCGCTTGAGCCCTGTTTTACATGTAAGTCAATGCTTTTTGAGGCTCATGCGGAAATCTAGATACGCCCTTACGTCAGAGGAACGACGAGTTGTGCTTCGAAAAATGCTCGCGTCAGTTTGTTAGCCCGAGAGCGGCCTCTTTCCGTGAGTTCACTTCTCAAAATTCACCTCTTTTTTGCTCTCTGTTGGAGCTGACTCAGTCTGAAGTCTTCATACGAGGAAAAATATCAAAACTGGCTCTGGAGTAGAGAACATTTTTTCGGGGGCAACAATTCCCTTCGTTATTCCCGTGTGACAGTTCTGCTTGGCAGACCACGAGTGAAACAAAATGTCGAAACTTTTAAACAATTTTTACCGCCAAGATACATTTTTCTAGCTTTGCGTTTTTTCTTTGTTTTTTGTGCTTTTTTTTCTTGAATCGATGCAATCATGAAAGTGCAGAAAAGACTCGTCTAAGGATTGAGTTAACTCCTGTAAACGAGTCTTTACACCACTTTCATGGTTGTGTCCATTCTTGAAAAGTTTCATCAACCCGTCAAAATTCAAAACTGGAAACATTTACATCAATAGTTTTCGCATGACCCGATACATTTTGATTTTATTGTTGCTAGGGCCCCTTCTCCCGTGATAGGTCACATACACAGAGGCGTGTATTCGGAGGATGTTCCATTAACAGGTGCATAAAACTGACTATAGTCAAATGAACACTCATCGGAAAAAAAAAACCGAATCAATCTCTATTTTATTGGGTTTCACCGGGCTCGGCGAATCCTGGAGGCAAATTTTCCACCGCCGTTTTCCCGCCGCGGGGGGGGGGGCGCTTTCCATTTTTCTCCTCTAATAAACCGACCGATGGACAGTGACCGTCATCTCCGTTTGAGGGATGGATCCGTCCGTTCCCGCCCATCCATCATAGAGGGGTTGCAACTTTTACGCGAAAAAAAACGCCCCCGGGCGAGGCGTCCGATAGGACCCGACAACCCTCCCCGTCATAAAAAAAACGCGGCAATTTAATTAAAAACGTTTCGCACTCGTCGAGGGCGGCGTCCATTACCTGCCCATTTATTGATGTCACCGTGTGTGCGTAACGGTTGCCAGAATTGGCCGTAATTTACGGTCAATTTACGGCTCCGCCGACGGAGGGGCGTGACTCCGCCTCGCGGTGAGCCCCGTCGCCCGCAGGACCACACGCTTTCCAGGGTTCACCCCGGAATAGAGTTACGTATTTATATTAATTTTATATCGCTGCATCCTCCCTTTCATGAGGACCCTTCCGTTTAATTGCCGAACGGCTCGATCGGCTCAAAGAACAATCGAACGAGCGCTCAAAAAAAAGAAAAAAAAACTAATTTCGAATTTATCCCCGCTCTCCCCCGCGCCGGGCAGGAGTCTTGAAGCGGAGCTTAGTTTACATTCGCCCGCCCCCTCCCCGCCGTCGTCGTCCGGAACTGTTTGCTCGAATAAATTAGAGTTCGATCGGCTATGAATACAGGGGCGTAGCTCCTCGTCACGTGGTTTGAATTCGTGATGCCGGCGCGGTGGCCCGGCCCGGATGCTAAATCAAATCGCGTACGCTCTCGCCGGGCAGAAAAAAAGAGCGAGAAAGTAAGAGAAGGAGATGGGTTAAATTGAAAGCAGAAACAAACGGTATCGAAACCACCCCCACCCCCCTCATCCAACCCGCCCCCCTCGCTTTTTCTCGCCCTCCAACGCAGCACTCTCACTTTCTCCGGGTGGCTCACTTGTTCTTCCACGTTTTCCCGGCAAGTGTTTTCGCCACACTGAAAAATTGCGTCGGACGGGTGGGGCACCGTTGCCATTTCCCATGAAAATCCCTCTATTTTAACGGGGAAATGACGAGGTTTTCGGGTGGATCTGGCAACGGTGCCGAGGCCGAAGGAAATCCGAGCGACAACGGAACAAATACAGCGCCTATTTAAATAAATAAATCATGTCTCTTTTAGTTCTCGTCCTGCCTCCGCCTTCGCGGGGGTTTTTTGCACCCAATTTTTCTTCGCTCCCCTCGCTCGAGTTTCGAACCGGAACCCGTTTCGCTCCCGCTCCCGATCGCTTGAATTAAATAAGCGTATCGTTTTTGTGACCGCGCGATCGGTTCCAAGGGTCTGAACGCGATATGTTTCAGCGGTCCCGCACTAATGACCTGAGCAGCTTAATCTGGCGGGGCAAAAGTTAAGCTTGGAGATTAACGCTACCGTTCGCCGAATGATGAGCGATCAGCAACTTGTGAAAAAATAAAATTCGCAGAATGATTATCGATGATTCGATGAGTGTGATGAGGTGGGCACCTCGCTCAGCGCGTTTTTTGCGAATTAAGTTCGAATTACCAGACCAGTCGTTCAACTCTTTGATAATCAGTCACCATTAGGCAAACTACAGCGTAGACTTTCGAAACTAATTTAGAAGGTCTCCGCGCGCAAATCGGGGCTCACAAACTAGCTTTACTTAATGCATGTATAATGTCTCGGCCGGGCCTGCGCAAAATTCTTCAAAAAACTCAAGAACTGATTATGATGTGTCCGGATCACATTGGTTATTTCCGTAAGTTCTCTTGGTGATGCGCGCTTACATGAGACCCCATACTCCGCAATTTTTAACTCGTTTACCATGATTTAACATCATTCCAAAAAACCTCAAAAAATTCCCGTAAACTGAGTCAATACTTCTCCAATGTACAAGAATATATTAGCTCTTGATGAACTAAGAAATTTACGGAAAACTTACTAATTTTTGCCTACGAAATTTCCGGCAGCCTGATCGTTGAAATTTTGTGTTTGTTGACCGAATAAGACAAGATTAAAGAGAACTGCATCGTGTAATCGGCCAGCTTTACCTCTTTTTCGCTTTGCCTTGCCGATAAAAGATGGATTTAACCAGGAATTGACGACGTAATATCGGCAACTCAAGAGGTGTATTTGGCTTCTCGTTAATTGCATCCTTTATCGGCACGACAAAAGAACAAAAGATGAAACTGACCAATCACATAACTCGACCCTTCTTAATCTTGTCTTATCCGATCGACAAACACGCGGATTCAAGAATCAGACCGTAGAGACTTTTATTCGCAAACCGTTTCAGTGCGTCTAAAAATTCCCGACAAAAATACCCCGAAAATGAACATATCATCCCCATCCGCGAG